CTAGAGTGATGCAGTTTAATCGACTTACAATAGAGTCTTTTAGCAGAATTACAGTAAATATTCCTTTGTTTAAACAAAATCCTATTATTTGTATTCAACATGTCTCTATCAATCATGATGTCCATTATTTGCAACTCTAGATGATCTATCTTAGCCTTCTTCGCCTCCAACATGCTTTGGGTTTCTAGTAACTAAGTACTAGATTTTTTAGCCTCATTGCTAGCAGAGATCACTAGATTATTAACATAACTAACAACAACATCAAACTCAGTGAACACATAATTATAAGCACTTGAAGGAATATTAAAGGATTGAAGTAGAGAACGTACCTTCAAAGTCATTGGCGCATTGTCTCCTGATGTCAAAACAAATCAACTACCAGTGACTTTCTCTTTTTCATCATCCTCATACCTTGCAAACATGGCTCCATGTGTTGGATTCCTCATTTGTTCGTCATCCGAGCCTGAAGACCATATTTGGTATTTTACCTAATCCTCATCCTCTCCTCTCGCTACCAGTGACATCCCCTTCGACTTAGTCCTCACTTCTTCCCGCCTTACGGAATAGTAGGCCTCATCCTTAACCCTATTCTTCTTTTTCTTCTTTATTCTTCAACATGCATTCATTGGCCATGTGATTTGCTCCGTGACAATAGTGACAATCAATTCCCGAATCACCCTTTAGCTTTTTCTCTTGTTTCGAATCTTCACCCTTAACCTCTTTTGTATCAAACTTCTTCTCATCACTAACTTTTCCAGTGTTACTTCCCTTCATTTCACTAACTTTTTACTTTGCATTGAATGGCTTCTTATAAAACTTCTTTACTCTGTTGCTAGAGTAAAAATCCAACGCTTTGCCATTCGAGTTGACGATAAGACCTTCGTCTTCAGAGCTTTCCTTCTTAGTAGCTTCCATCTGACCTACTCTTTCCAATACCTTCAATACCAATGCTAATGGACCCCCAGATTGATCTTTGACTCTTCAACTATTTCATTCACTTCAGCTTCGTGAGCTTTTAGCAGGTTGTAAAGATCACAGAGAGTCAAAAAATCGAAGGTTTGTTGTGTCTTCTTCATTAAGCTTACATTCCTCCACTCCTTGCGAAGCCCCATAATGAAAGTAAGGTTATATTCCATAGCAGACCTAGTAATTCCATACCTATTACACTTATAGATGAGCTCATTCAGACGGTCATAGTATACTTCAATCGTTTCTGCATCTTTTTGCCTGAACTCCCTTAATTTAATCATACATTACTTGAATGAACTGATTTTGGTCTTCTCACTACCCTAGTACTTTTCCTTTAGTGTATTCTAGATCTCTTTAGAGGTTTTGAAGGTTCAAACGTAATTATACATAACAGGAGGAAGAGCACCATGAAGCTCTCTCATACATCTTTTCTCATTCTTCTGTAGCTTTTCAGTTTGTTCATTAACACTTTGAGTTGATGCAGAATTACCAATGCTTTGAACAGATAGAGGTGGATAAGCATCATCAGTAATGCACTTCCATAGCTCTTCATCGAGTCCGTTCAAGTAATCCTCCATTCGATCCGCCCATTCATCATAATATTCTTGAATAAGCATAGGAATCTTAGTTGAAGATCCTAGCAAATGAGATAAAGAAGTCATGGTATTCATGTCGAAGTTCGCCATTGATGTACAGACGGTTTCAGAATTGAGAAATTCGAGATTAACAAGATGAATCTGTAACACCCCAAAAATTACGAGCCAAAAATTTCATTTTTGAAAACATATACTTAGCAAAACACTCGAATTAAAACGTTTACTGATCATAACATTTTATAAAGATATCACATGTCTGGAAAACATTTCATAAAACATAATAATGTCAGAGTACAAATCCCCAGGAAGATCTCATGATGTGGAATACGAAACATGTGTGAGATGGGCCGCTACTGCGCCAGCTCTTTCCCCTTCGAAGAAGAGGTACCTGAAACCAAAACTGAAAACTATAAGCGCGAAGCTTAGTGAGTTCCCCCATCATACCACATACCATACAATTACATATCATAGATATTGCCAGGCATTTCTGGGGTGCCTGACCTACCCGGTACGACCATTCTGGGGTGCCGACCTACCCGTGTCAAGCCATTATGGGGTGCTGACTACCCATGTCAAGCCATTATGGGGTGCTGACTACCCTTCGGTCCTGACGACCGAACCTCGGGGACTATTTCACCCCCTACTGCTACTATCACATATATCATAACATAACATATTATCAGACATATCTGGGGTGCTTGAACTACCCTTCGATCCTAGTAACCGAACTCGGGGATTGGTCCCCTCATACTACCTCTATCGCATATAACATAACAAGCCAGCATGCAAACATATAATCACATACTGTCAGATGTATCCGGGGTGTCTGACTACCCTTCGGTCCTAACAACCGAACTCTACTACTATCACATATAACATATCATGCTAGCATATAACATATCAGGTAGAAGCAAACCTAGATGATATCACAAAGACAATCATCTATCATACATCTCCTACTGGTGAGCCGACATTGTGGCCTTAGACCCACCGCTACTGGAAGGTAACTCACCTCGTAGTAGCTGCTGATCTGTGTGGGAATAGTCTGTCTGCTACTGCTGCTGCTCCGGAAATCCTCCGGCTGTAATTCCCACCAAACACTTAGTCAAATACTGCTAACCGCCCTCAGGGTAAATTGCCCATTTACCCTTAACAAGTCATGAGTTAAGTCATAGTCAACTGCCAGTTGACCAGACTCGCCGAGTTGGCTTGCCGACTTGCCGAGTCCCTTTCTCTATACCCAAGTCTTAATAGTCCTGCATCCTACTCGCCGAGTTGTATGATCAACTCGCCTTCATCCGAAGAACACTCTACGCTGTGACTCGCCGATTTGTATGAACAACTCGCCGAGTCTGTTCTTGATCTAAGAAGATTATCTTGAACTCGCCGAGTCAGGGCATTGACTCGCCGAGTTTCTTAATGGATGAGTTCGGCTTCCAACTCATCGAGTCCACCACGGACTCACTACACTACTCGCCATAACGAAAGCGGGAAAAACTCAGGGACTCGCGTCTCGACTCGCCGAGTCCGATGAACGACTCGCTGAGTCGTTACCATGCAATTACTATATGGTCGATTCTGCTCGAATCCAACTCATGCCATACATAGATCTGTGATCCTAGAGCTTGATTTACACGTAAAGTTTCCAACTTTACGTGTAAATAGGCAACCATGAGGGCTTTAGGGTCCAAAATGCACCAAAAGGGTAGATCTAGGCCTTTCATGTAATATGGTTCGAAAAAGACACTAGATCCAAGCTCCTGGAGCTCAACCATGCCTAGATCTAAAGGTTAATCAGCTTATTACGAACCCTCAAACCTACCTAAGCTTGGAAATGGTTCAAGAAAGACTTTAATGGAGCTATAAAGGACAATAAGCATGAAAACAAGGGGGAAAACGAGTTATACCTTAGGGAACACACTGAGATAGCTCAAAGATGCTTGATCTCCTCTTCTTCTTCTTGATCTACTCTTCTTCCCACTCCAAAACTTCAAGAGGACACACCAAATGCTTCAAAGTCACAAGGAAACAAAGCTTGGACGGGATATAGGGCTCTGAGGGTGAATGGGGGCAAGCTTAGGTCGCACAAGCTAGCTTAAATAGGGGGCAAACCCTTGGAATCAGGGTTTCATCAAACAGCGATGACTCACCGAGTCCAGGATATAGACTCGCCGAGTCGACAACTTAAGCGTGCCCCCTGACCGCGTCCCTACTCGACGAGTCGGACCAACAACTCGCCGAGTCCAAGGCTAAAATGACAATTACTTAGATAAATTTTTACGTACCAGGAACCAGGTGCTACAGAATCAAACAACAAACAAATATCAAACTCACGATTTGTCGATCAAAATGTAGAATCACATTAGAACTAAATATCTACAATGATTTTCAGGATCAAAAGTGCGGAAACTTTTGAATCTAGAATGAGATTCAAAAATCTTTTGCAACAAAAGAAAATCAGATCAAAACAGTTCGACTCTTGCTCAAATACCAATTGTAGTTCCGATCGAATCGACTAATCAAACAAAATCATAGTATGAAATGATTTAGAACACAATATCTAAATATAATATGTTTGGCACGTTATCTTGCTTGATCAGTTGAATACAAGAGGAAAAGAGAAATGATTACAATCTAGGAAAAGTTCTTAACCTCTAAAAGTAGACTTCCCATATTTATAAGAAATCTGAAAGCACAAAAAGTATAAAGAAATTTGACATTTACACTTCGATACAAAAGTAGTCTTTAAAATAAAATACAATCAAATATTCGATATTACAAATAACAAAGACAATTTCGACATCTCACAACCTACGAACCCCAACATAGGTAAAGCAATCAATCGAACACAAGTAAAAACCAAATTCAATTAATCCTGCTAACGAAATCAAAGCATATCAATAAGGTTCATCAATATCTAGTGAAAGTAAAAGTTTTTACACCATTTTCAATAAATTAAAGTAGAATAACATAACCAAAAGAATGCAAGACGCGATCGTCAAGAAAACCTAAAGTTAAATCTTGATATAATATTGCTTGAATCTTTAAATCCTTGCTCCAATTGAATCTCTAACTTTAAAATCAACTCTTGGAGGGTTTTCATCGTAAACAATCTCAACCCTAAGGTCTCCACCTCCTAGAAGAGACCTAATGTTCGGAGTATATATACTTGCCAAATTTTGGCCACCACGATGCAGTTAAAAGGTAGCACGTTGCGGTATTCATGGATTACCGATATTCTCCAAGTCAGCTCAATGATTGCGAAGTTTTCATTTACCACTCTGTGGTGGTGATCACCATGTCGTGGTAGTTAGATTTCACATTTTGGCACAAACACAAAAGTCGTCCGAAATTTTTGTATAATTTTTAGATCATTTTGAATTGCATTAATGGGAGTTACGATTCATGAGATATGACCAAAGTACTGATGAGGGGTCAAGCTGTCCAACACCATCCTTTCTTTGTTGTTTTCAGCTCCATTTTCCTCATTCTGCATTGCAGCTCCCATTTTAACTGTAATTGAATGTTTTAAAACATATTAAGTATCATATATATTAAAATATAACATTTTAATCAAATATATTAAGATAATGGCCTAAAATATGTAGTTAAATAATGACATATCATCGGTTTAGTTAGTATTTTTGAAGTAAAAGAAGTAATTAAATCGAATTTAATAAACGACTACCGATTAAAATGACGAGTAAAACTCCTACAAATATTGATAACCTAGTCTAACTGTATGGAAATGAGCCCCAACTATAAACATACATATATACAAATTACAAAAAATGAATGCAATTTTTTATTATGGTGCAACTTGTTTAGACGATGCACTCAAGATGGTATGGTCGTCTTGGTTTTGAAAAAAATTGGTGGAAAAAAATCTCAAGTTCTCATGCAAATATTGATTCCCAAAAGACCTTTAAATTTTGGTAAATTTACTCTTTTTTTTTATATATATACACCACATACCAACTAACATGTTGTAACAGTTTATATTTTTGCCATTGGTAACCTGCAACACAAGTTTATAATGGTAAAATGCGAACAATTTCAATAAGTTTGATGTTATATGATATACAAAAAAAAAAGAATATAAATGTAAAGAAAATCAATAGTCTGTTATGGCCCTGAATCATTCTTTTTTAATTTCAATTTTGTCTGATAATTTAACAAATTGTAGATATCCCTTTATCAAAACTTGAATGAAAGAGCACAAATGTATTGCTCACAATACCTACACGACTATAGCAACTTCTCAATTAAATGTATATAGCTTCTTGACAATCTATGTTGGCAATTAATTTTTTTGGAAACGACAAATGATTCCGCAGTAACCTACTCGTATATTTCAACGAGCACCCTGAATTCGAACTTAGTTACAAGACAAACCTAGCCTTCATAGGGGTTTCTAAGAAAAATTTCCCCAAATGTGGCACAAGTTTAAAAGGCACCCATTTTTGGGTTTTGTAAGGATTGCTTCTTGACAATCTGTGTCGCCAATTAATTTTTCTTGGAAACGACAAATGATTCAAATGTAGCCTATACGCGCTACTCGCATATTTCAATGAGCACCGCGAGTTCAAGCTCATTTAAAAGGAAAACCCAACCCCCATAGAGGTTTCCAAAGAAAATTTCCCCACATGTGGCACAAGTTTAAGAGGTACCCATTTTTGGGTTTTATAGGGATTGCACTCCACACATATGACCTTACATGGGTATTAAACCCGGTACCTCTTCCTAGTTAGGTTGGAAGTCATTGGTATGTCGACAGTTAAATGGATACATAATTTGTCCCATTCTTTCACCGAAAGATGGCTTCCAAACTTGTTCATCCATCTCTTCGTTTCTTTAATTTCTACCCAACTACGCATAAAGAAATCAAAAGTAAACTATCTTGTTAATTTTGAGATGATCTTGACTTTCCTGATGAATACTTTTCAAACAAATCATCTGATTTGTATATTTCTATTATTGAGTCTAAAGATAATTATTTTGTATAATACATATAATTATTTAATATTAAAGGAAGTTATCCCGTTTTATAGCCCATCCTACTTTTCATTCTTTCTTTTGAAAGTATAAGATTGATACCTTTAAAATATTTAAATAAGACAACTTACTTGAACATCGATTGCATCCTCAATCCTCTCGATGATGGTTTCCATCGTAGGGCGTTCCTTGAAATTGTAGCTAATGCATTGGTATGCAAGTTCATTAAATATATGAAAACACCGACTATCAATTTGATCTCTAATATGGGGATCAATTAATTCCTCAAGTCCGTTGTTATAGTAGCGTCGTACAAGATTTATCAGAGGTTGTGGGTTACCATCTCCAAAACTCCTTCGATGGTAAGCCAACATCCCACTAAAGATTTCGAATAATACCACGCCAAACGAGTACACATCTGACTCTTTATGGAGGATTCCACTTTCTTGGTAAATGGGATCCAAGTAAAAAATAGTACCAGCAGCTTTTGTATAGATTTCCGTACCTTGTGTATTTCTAGGGGATTGTTTCGATAAACCAAAATCACAAATTTTGGCTTCCATATTTTCATCTAGCAATATGTTTCCACTCTTGATGTCTCTATGAATGACTCTAATTTCTTCACCTACACTTGAGTGGATGTAGTTGAGTCCTCTTGCTACCCCTAAGCAAATCTTGAGGCGTTGTGACCATGTTAGATGACCCCTCTTCTTTGAGTCTTGGAGATGATGATCAAGGCTATGATTGCTTGCATACTCGTAAACTAAGATCATTTCATTTTCTTCATCACAGTAACCAACAAAAGAGATGATGTTGTCATGATGAAAACTGGAAATGAACTTTAGCTCGGTAAGGAATTCATCTTTTCCTTGGTGGCTTTTGACATCAAGGCGTTTGATAGCCACTATGCAATTTTTCCAGTGTTCAGAGAGATTTCCTCTATAGACCACACCAAATCCACCATCTCCAATCTGAGTTTCAGCACTAAAGTCTCTGGTTGCCAATTTGATTTCCTCCAGTGGAATTAGAAAACTTTCTAGGTTTTGACATTGGTGGCTTGGTGTAGCAATGGTGGAAGCTACTCCATGGTTCTGTGAAGATAAATCCATTACGTAAGATGTTACATTTATTGTTTATATTTTTTTAACTAGGCGTCAATGTGATGCAAGAATAGAAATTCATTTCACACTTTTCATTTTTAAATAGCAAAAAAACAACTTACTTGAATGTATTGTGCTTCTTCAATCCTCTTGATGATCCTGTTCATAGTAGGGCGATCTCTTAACTTCAAACTAATGCATTGATATGCAAGTTCCTTGAATGCATGGAAAGAGTGAATATTAATTTGATCTCTTATATGAGGATCAATTAAGTTTTTCAATCCGTCATGATAGTAACGTCGTACCAAATTTATGAGTGTTTGTGGCTCATCTTCACCAATGGTCCTTTGATTATAAGCTAACATACCACTCAACATCTCAAATAATACCACCCCAAATGAGTAAACGTCTGATTCTACGCTAACGATGCCACTTTCATTGTAAATTGGATCCATGTAAAATGGGGTACCCACAGCAGGTTCATAGACTTCTCGTTGATTTCCATCGACTAATATTGCCAGAACAAAACAACAAAATTTTGCTTCAAGATTTCCATCTAACAATATGTTTGAACTTGTGACGCCTCTATGTATTACTTTGTTCTGCTCCCCCAAACCCGTGTGAAGGTACTTGAGTCCTCTTGCTGCTCCTAGGCAAATCTTAAGGCGTTGTTCCCATGTTAAGCATCGGATTTTATTAGGGTCTTTTAGATGTTGATCAAGACTTCCATTGATAGCATATTCGGAAACTATAATCCTCTCATTACCCTCGTCACAATAGCCAATAAAAGGGATGATATTTTCATGGTTTAAGCTTGACAGCATCTCAACTTCATTTCGGAACTCTTGCTCTCTTCGTGAACGAGTGGGATATATGCATTTGAATGCAGCTGTGCGATTCTGCCAACGTTTAGAGAGTTGACCTTTGTAGACCACACCAGATCCACCGACTCCTACACGAGTTTCTTGACTCTTGTATCCTGTGGCCAAGTTGACCGCCTTCAGTGGGATTAGACACCTCTCCAGGTTTTCATATCGGTTCATTCCTACGGTAATCGTTAAAGCAGCTTCGTGTTTCTGTGACTATATATAGACACAAAAGAGTTTATTTAGAAGTGCCAAACTATTATAGGCTTATAGCATTCAACTACAAAAATCCCTAAGAAATGAAATTTACTATTTAATGTTTATGTGGTTGACAATCAACTTAGCAAGTAAGAATTCATTTGAACTAAGTGGCCATAGATATGAGGCATTTATATCCCGTTCAAGGAAACAATACCTCTTGTCAAAATTAGTAACCAGAGCAATATAATTAAGAGAAATTAAATTGTTTTCTACTTTTTATGTCTACAAATGTTTCTACCCAATAAAATTATAACAAGTGTAAACATTCTAATTTTTTTTTAACTCACTCATTAGAGCTATATTATGAATATATTAAATAAAATTAAATTAAATGGTGATTTGTCATAATTCTAATGACAAATTAAATTAATTAATTAATTTAAATTAAATTAATTAATTAATAACAAAATAAATGGTGATTTGTCATAATTTTAATGGGTAAGAATAACTGTAGGCATAAAAGGTAAGCCGTAATTTAATTTGTCATTAATTAATTAATTAATGACAAATTAAATGGTGATTTGTCATAATTTTAATGGGTATGAATAATTGTAGGTATGAAAGGTAAGCGGTAATTTAATTTGTCATTAATTAATTAAAAAAACTTACCTGGATATCCAATGCTTCCTTGATCCTCTGGATGATGGTATCCATCTTAGGTCGATCCTTTGATTTGAAACTAATGCATTGATATGCAATTTTCTTAAACGTATTGAAAGAACGACTATCAATTTGAGTTCTTATAAATGGATCAATTATCTGGTCCAACCCATCCTCATAGTGGCGCCGGACCAAATTCATGAGAGTTTGTGGCTTACGATCTCCAATGCTCCTTGTATCATTAGCCAGCATCCCACTCAGTGTTTCAAAAAGCAGCACGCCAAACGAGTATACGTCTGATTGTTTCGTGAGGTTTCCAATTTCAAAATAATTGGGGTCCATGTAAAAGCTGTTACCGACATAAGTTGTATGTATGGTAATTAGCCTTGATCTAAAACCAAAATCACATATTTTGGCTTCCAAATTATCACCCAACAATATGTTTGTTGCTTTGATGTTTTTGTGTATTATTCTTCGGCTCTCTCCAGCACCCGAGTGCAGGTACTCGAGCCCTTTTGCTGCCCCTATGCAGATCTTTAGGCGTTGTTCCCATGTTAGGCAACGTCTTTTATTGGGGTCTTGGAGATGATCTTGAAGGCTTCCATTCATAGCGTATCCAAAAGCTATAACCATCTCATTATCTTCATCACAGTAGCCAATGAAAGGAATAATGTTTTCATGGTTGAAGCTTGAAATCATCTCAAGGTCATTACGGAATCCATCATGTCCTCTGAAATTACTTGGATATAAGCGTCTGAAGGCAGCTGTTTGGTTTTGCCAGCGTTTAGAAAGTTGTCCTCTATAGACATCAGCAAATTCACCATGTCCGATCACAGTTTCTGAACTAAAGTCTTGGGTGGCCAAGCGGATCTCCTTCAGTGGAATAAGTGACTTTGCTAGGTTTACACGTGAATTCGAAGAAGACATTCTCTTCTGATAATGGTGAGTATGTTTATTGATTATGGTTTGAGAATATAAGAAGAAACGAGTTGCTTAGAGATAATTATATCCGCCCCTTGCGCGTTATATTGGTCTATGGCGTAAAAATAAATAAATAAATATAAATAGTTGATTTATAGCTGGAATCAAGTTCGTATGCTATCAGTAGTTAGTCTTGTTTCTTTTAATACGACAATATACATCCACCTAACCTCGAAAATAATAGGAAACCAGATCCACCTAATATGACAATAGTCAACTAGAATCAAAGGCGTACAATACCCTACCACGTCTCAGTCTATGGAAAGGTCTACTACTTTAAACCTAGATTTACTAGTTTGACCATTTCATTTTTTTTTTTTTTTGAGAAAATTGCAAAAATCGCCCACCATAATAGAAACTATATTCTTACTTTAATAAAATGACAAACTTCGTCCTTGTGTTATTTGGATATTATAAGGATCGTCCCTAAGTCTAATTACATTTTTACCTTTACATAAGTAAAATTACATTTTTACTTTTACCTATAGTTACATAAGTGGCCCTCTCACCCACATTCACCCCACCGTCTCTAGTTCAAATATTCGGAAACCACCATCATCTCCAACACTGCAACCACCATCATTTTCATTGGCTTAACTCGTATGTTTATTGTTAATTATCATCTTGATTGGCTTAACTTGCCTGTTTATTGTTAATTATAAAATCTAAATCAAGCCCTTCTAATTTAATTTTTCTGCATCTCTTTCTCTCTCATAATCATGTCAGCAAATTCGATAAGAGTTTCGGGTACCACATGAAGTTTGAAGATGAATGCAGGAAAGGGAAAAGGGAACATGGCGACGATAGGGAGGATACATGAAGATGAATTCACAGAGGGAGAACAAGTGTTAGATAAGAGTTCCAGGCAGGGCCGGTCCAAACGTATATGGGGCCCGGGGCGAAAATAAAAAAAAGGGCCCCTTACAAAAAAATATAATAAATATTCAAAAAAATATCATTTATTCTTCACTATAAACGCGTTCAATTAGCAATAACAAGCAAACCAAATTGTTTATCTTTTGAGCTAGTTTGAGTTTGAACCAATTTTAAGTCCTAAAAATCATTTAGGTAATAATTTTTTTATATATATATACACTATATAGCCAAGAAATTTTGGGCCCCCGGAGACGTGGGCCCTGGGTGGTCGCCCGGGTTGCCCACCGTCTGGACCGGCCCTGGTTCCAGGTGCCAGAGGAATTTTGAGTCAAAGTATGAGTTGGGGATGAAGATCGAAACAGGGCACTTTGGCCATACTTGTTGGGCAAGGGGAAAAAGGGATCTCTTACTAGGATCATCCTAGATTCTCCGCGGCAGCTTTCATTACTATTGATTCTAAATTTGTCGTTGAATATGTTGAGAGGATCTATACCCTCTTCTTTTTCATCTCTTGCCAATCTCACAACTCTTGATTTATCATTAAATTTCTTATTTGGCCCAATCCTTATGAACTTTGGTTCATTTTCTCATTTGCAGTCCTTACATCTTTCTAATAACAGTCTCGTTTCTTTTCTCCTTTTACAACTTGGAAACCATTCTCAGTTAATTGACTTTGATCTTGGATTCAATTCATTCTCTAGATCATTTCCAAGTGAACTAGGTCATTTAACAAATTTGAGGAGATTACTACTTAAAAACAATAATTTGGGCGATAATCTTTCTTCCAAATTCATACCGAATATCATCATTCTTGATGTATCAAGCAACAACTTATTTGGCAATCTTCCAGACCTCTCAACATTTCCAAACATTTCTGGTGTCACCTAAAACTTCTCAAACAGTCAATTCTCACTAGTACAAAATGACCTACAGACACACCAAAAAAGTGTGATCATATGCGTATAGTGACATTTTATTTTTTCACTGAAAGTATGACTGAAGGTGAAGCCATCGTATGGTCTTATGGTCACTTTAAAATATAGTGTCAGTATTATATGAAAACATGTGGTCGTATTATAAAAGTGTGGCAAATGTGTACGGAATTTTGTTCCCTCAACATCCAATATTGCATCTTTAAACCGCCAATAGACACATTTATTTAGTAATTATGGTGACTGTATATCACCAACTTGCGACATTCATGATATTTTAATGTAGTTGTTTTCTTTTATATTGTCACACGGTTTAAGTTTTGTTAAGACTATTGTGTATTTTTTATAAACATGTAATTACGGTGATCATGACCATGTTTGCTTAATGGCCACATGTAATTAATTCCATAAGTGGCGACTTGCTAATAATTAGTCAGAAAAAACAATCAATTTTTGTAGCCTATCGTATAGAGACACACAATTAAGTGCAATACAATCATAAGTATTATCAAGACACATATTTTGTTAAAATTAAGGACTATTCAGTATCATATTAAGACTATTGGGTATATTTTAGATACATATAATTACGATGAACATGACCATGTTCGGTAAATGGACACGTATAATTTTTTTTGTAAGTGACGATTTGATTGTATTTACTCACAACAAAAATCAATTATCGTATTTATTTGCCGCATAAATTGTTTTTAATGTTGTTAATGTTTAACTTAGTCACAAAAACTTTAGAATAAACATCATTTTAAAACAACTGTAGACTCATAATTCTTGTATATTATAACTATTGTTAACCATTTAGCCACACATTAAAAAATGATGTAAAGTAACCATTGTATAATTTTAGAGACATCGAAAACCTATAAAATATGGCCAAATTTATATTAAAGCCACTTTAATTTAATATTTATTGTTACTTATTCTACATTGTAGACATATAAAAATAATTTAAATTAAAGTAACCAAACCCAACAATATGAAACAAAAGCAAAATTCATAATTTGATATTGGTAATAATTGAAATCCAAATCCATACATTAAATTCGTAATTAAAATACCAAAAAAAAATGTCCTAATTTCAAGAATTTAAATAATGGTAAAAAAATCAAACACATCATAAACCAAAACCTAAACATAACTAGGCATTCTTCTTATTTGTATTGTTCCTTATCTTGTTGAGAAGATCATCAAATGATATGTAAGTTGGTTTCCTTTTCTTTGAGTTTTGATATTGATGTTCTTGATGTGATATAATTTCTAGTACATATAACAACATTGAAACAAAAAACAAGTTCATCAAAAACTTAGTATACTACTTTATGAAGAAAATAAAATGTAATGCACAAAGTAGTGAACATAATTAAACAAACCTTTGACTCGGTTTGCAGAAGGTATTTTAGCCATGGAACAAAACTTTTATATGCATCCTCAACTAATGTGAATTCTCCAGTTTTATGGGGGTAGAAATGCATGTTTTATTACCACTTCATCAGCGGAAACTTTATTGCAATCATCTTGTAGAGGAACTGAATGAATTGTCTTTCTGATGATAAGTGAACAGTACCATAAGCAACGATGTTCCTTTTATACAAATATGATAGACTACACTTGATTAGCTACAATGATTAGTAATATTAGAATCAGAGAAAAGAAGACAGAGATATATATTCAACATGTACAAAACACTGACCTGGTGAAGGGGTTTATTTGGTAAAATTGTTGGTATGTCAGGATTGATAGTGGCAGTCTTAGACTCAACAACTTTTATGGTGGGTTTTGTATTTGCCTAATATAAAGATTTAAGACATATATGTAAAATTATATTTTAATGTAAAAGATAAATTAAAAGTATTGAAAACTGTAAAGTTAGTATATACTATTGTTGTAGATTTCATGGAAATCAATTGTGTATCCGGAGTTGCAGTTGTAGAGTTGGTTTCAGCTTGTTTCTTGGTGGGTTTTGCAATAATCTAAATAAGTTAAAGTCCCAAGTGAAAAAACAGAAATTAGTACCAAAAAAATTATATCAATGATGATCTTATGAGATGATAACATACTGGTGTTATAGATTTTGATGGTTCCTTGGTTTTGAGACTAACACGAGTCGTTTCACTACTTTCAAAAATCTTGTCACTTGAAATACCCTAGAAAATATAAAGAAACAAGGAAAATATCTAAAAGAAATGCAATTTACAAGTAACATTGACAATAGAAGTTGTTAATAAGATTACTTACAACTGTATGAGACAGATTTGGAAAGTCAGCTCCTTTTGCATTAAAATGAGTCAAAACTAGATTTAGTGATTGATCTTGTTCATTAAGATTTGTAGACAAAGCCTTGAGTTCATCATCTTTTTTCTCAAGCTCAAGTTTTCCATTATGCAGTGCAACTTTAAGATCTTTTATTTCTTCCTTAGATGATCCTTTGCGATGAGGAACATTGAAATATTTGTTGTAAGTGACATCCGTGCCGACACCCTTTAAAAATCCGCCCTTTTCCTTGCCAAAAACTAAGGTCATGGCATTTGTGCCTGGTTCAACATTTACTTATCCTTATTTTATCTGCTTTTCTTGTTCCATCTAGCACACAAAATATTAATAATTATTCTCATAATAAAACTGATTAAAATCTTTAAAGTAATAGTAATAAAAAAGTTTATTGAAGTTACTAGTTTATTCGCCACGAGTTTAACATCTTCATCCTTAAATTCTCATTTACTTTCACGTCCTTTACACCACATAATTGACCTTGGGGGCATTTCTTCATTTGAAGTCACCTTCTCTTCAGTCTTTATAAAGAAATTTAAATTGTAAACAATATAAAGTAAAATTATGTTAAGTACAATGCTATGAAGGTAATATAATATGGTCACATAGCTAAAAAAAGCTTACCAACTTCTGCCTAAGAGTAGTATACCCCCACTCGTCCCATCCGATGAGCATACTTTGACATCTTTCGCGCTTTGATAGTTTTTTGTGACACAACCTGTTAAAAAAAAGACTTTTTCAAGAACTTTTTGGTAATTCTATGATAAATAAATGAAGAGTTTTAGGGAAAAATGTGACATCCCCAAAATCACGGCCAGAAAAGACCGATTTTGTTTATGCTTTATAAAAATCAAAGTACTTCTTTCCATAAAAATGCTGCGGAATTTGTTCCCAGAAAAACACGATAAATACGTTATGAAAACAGTTTTGAAGAAATGTATTTTATTTATGTTAAAATGTTTGGGATGTCATCGTCAATACAAAAAAATAAGCATAAACAGAACTTACATTTATTTACACTAGTGATCTACATCTCTTTAATCTCTCAGTGTAATGTGACTTCAAATCAACACCTGTGATGTAAATAAGCTGAGTGGGTCAGGTTGGGAAACTGGTGAGTACATAGGGTTTTCAACCCACAATAATATAATTATTATGTTTAAACAACCAAACAATCAACCCAATTACCTATCCCCATTATCTTCTTTTAGTCTTCCCTAGAGATATTATCTCAAGGGTCATCTCCTATATCATATTTACTTCTCATCTCCTTACATCGTATTTCCTTATATGATTGTTCCTACGAACATTACCTAAGGATCATCGCCTACATTGCATAGACAATACTAATTCGGGGATTACTCCGTCAGTATGTGTCTAGCAAGGGTTTGGGTATCATCGTATGATTACGGAGCCACAACATCGCCTGGACTTGTAAATCATGATAAGGGTTAGTCTATCATCACATGAATACATAGCCACAACATCGCCTGGACTCGTAGATCATAATAAGGGTTAGACTATCATCGCATGAATACATAGCCACAACATCGCCTGGACTTGTACTTCATAATAAGGTTTAGACTATCATCGCATGAATACGTAGTTACAACATCGCCTGAAATCGTAATTCATCACCTACAGGTTATGAGCCTGCTGGTGTTTCCACGGGGTTGTCTATAATAGTCCGTGGTCACCATCTATACTCTGGTAGATAACTACATCTCCAAATTATTAGACAAGGTTTTCGTATCCTACATCACCGATTCATAATCACCTATTTATCCTCACCTAATTATCATCACCTATCTCTCATTATTTTATTTCATCACTCACCAACTATTTCATTGTAACAACCCGAAATTTGTATCACTGCTTGTAAGCCCTTTTCATAACTCATTTCGATAATCCAATCGTCGTTTCCAATTTCGTTTCCGATTCCGTCATTTAATTAAGTCATTAATGTGTATTTTATTTTATGACTCAATGGGTGTCCTAATGCCTTTAGAACTCATTCTAACATCTCATATTAGTGATTGGAACATTTCTAGAATCAACCACATCGAGTTACGGCTACTTAATCGGGTGCGACCAAAAGCCACGTCTAACGCCGATATCGGGTAGAATTCCACCGTGTCCCGAACTTGGACACTATTTAAAGGAAGCTAAGCTTCCATTTGAAGCTTTTTCCCTCTCTCACAACTCTCTCTCTCTCTCTCTCTAACTTCTCTCCTCAAACAAGATTCATGGTCCAAAAACATAGAATTAAGGCCCCATATCTTTGAGGTAACTTCCCTAACTTGTTATACAACCCCTCTAGCCTTCAAATTCGAGTTTAAACCATGGATTAGGACCATCATCATGAGTTTACGGCCCTAGAACAGTCCTAGGCCGTGAAATCATATAGATGGGGTTTTTGAGCAACAAAACGCTTCCAAACCACAATTAGACCTTAGATATGGCTAGATGACTTCATGGAATGGACTTGGAATGCCTTAAACATGGTTTTTGAAGAGTAAAAATGAGTTTACTGCCCAAGAGCATGCTTGGGTCCTAAACTCCTCATTCATGGGGAGTAAACTCTTTTTCTTGTGTTATAAAGTCATATAAACACACCAATAGCCTTTGAATAAATCCTAGAATCATGTAAAAATAGTTTGGGGACCTTAAACATGTCAAACACCCTCCAATTAGGTGTTTACGGCCATGACACCCCAAAAATATGTTCCAGGGTCGTAAACTCCTAAAGATGAGTCATTTGGTGCCCTAAATTCATACCAAGGCTTGTAAAAATTATTGGAATCACATATGATTAAGCTAAGACCATTAAATCATCAATCTAAGGGGTATAGGAGTTTACAGCTGTAAACTCCCTTTTGTGATGTTATTGGTGATTTAATTCCCATCCCATGCCTTAGATAAAATTGTACCAACTCTTCCCAAGTGTTATTGACCAATTTAGCACCATAAAACCCCCGAACCATGAGTTCACGGCTGTGAACTCATGTGTGTATATTGTATAGGGCAATAAACTCCCTAAAGACTGTACTCTTGAAGAGTAAACTCAATTCCCAAGTCCCACACATCAATACACGTCCATAGATGTCACCCGGGTCACTCCAAACACTCGTTTTGAAGTGTTTTCGCTCATTGGAGTGTAATATCATATATAATTAGAGTTTATAAATATAATTAGATATATTTGTATATCATTTCATAATCCATAGGAATCTTGCACGTTCGCGAACCCAGAATTGACATTTAGGAACCAAACCGACGCGTTTCTCAATCGGTGAGTTCATACCCCTACCCTTTTTCAATGGTTTTTAAATGTTTTCAGGGGACGGGGGGGGGGGGGGGGAATACAAGCAAAAGTACAATAATATCTTGTACTTAAATTCGTTATTTCATTTAAATGGTTTCATAATTCGCACACTTTTAAGAATTGAAAACCTACTAACAAACTGTTTTAACTTGTAGAATTGTTTGTTCAAACGATTTCAATTCTTATTATTTACTGTTCTGTTTCACAATCGATTGTTCACACTTGTATTGATAGAGATCATAAAACATTGTAATGTCTGTAATAGAACACCCTAGGCTCGAGTATAAAAGATAGACACCATAAGAAAACATAAAACATTTGTAATGTCTTTAATAAAACACCTAGGCTCGAGTGTAAAGGACAGGCTCCATTAGAACTTAGTTAGTCATAGATACTACTTGCCCTAGGCACGAAAAGTAAAGAGTAATCTTAAAGATTGGAGACATGTCCTTTGTAACACGTCCCGTGGCACGAGAGTGGAGGACTACCCCTGTAACCAGAATCTCCGAGCAGAGGAGAGCGTGACTTGAGTGTATAGATCTATACGGGACTTACAATCCCGCACCTGGCTGCTAGCTACAGCTGAACCGAAAGGTTCAAGGGTGATGAAAGTTATAAAAAGGATACTGGCCACGACCCGAGTCATATCTAGTCTGAAGTATGGTTAAGGACTCGCAATCAAGATTATGAACACGTTATACTTAATTATTAGTTTTATATATGTGTTAAAACTAATGTACATAATCATAATCGGTAACAATTCACACACACACACACAGGTAGGAAAATATGGAATTTTCCTTGGGATAACATTGAACATAATCAGAATCCGTAACAACTGACACACACACAGGTAGGAAAATATGGGATTTTCCTGTGGATAACATTGAACATAATCAGAATCGGTAACAATTCACACACACACACAGGTAGGAAAATATGGGATTTTCCTGGGGATAACATTGAACATAATTAGAATCGGTAGCAATTCACACACATACACACACAGGTAGGAAAATATAGGATTTTCCTGGGTAACAGTAGTACGTAGCTAGAAAGTGTAACAATTTGAATAACTAAACTTTACAATTCACAAGAGCAATTATGATTTCAGTGTACATCTTTTACATTAAAATTTGGAATTGGTAAACATTACTTTTAAGAAAATATGGGATTTTCTTGGATAACCGCTTTTTCAGGAAATCAAAGGAACTCGTGCATTTTCAGAAAACTAACCGCTTATGAACTCACCACCTTTATGCTAATTTTCAAACCACTTGTATTCTCAGGTCCGCATTAGACAGGTACCCGACGATCTCTTTTGGCGAAGACGGAGTGTGTAGAAGAATCGTCTCATTTTGTTCATATATACTATGTATCATACTTGTACAATTTGCTTTTGAAACAAATGTAAACTTTTATATATGTAATGTAATGGTTTTCTACTTTGCTTACTATGTGCATTGGATTTGATACTCAACGTGGAGTCCGCCCCGGAAATGTTTCCGCCTTTGGTTTTCGGGGTGTCACATGTATCTACCCATGTTTTATCCCAACATATTTGTAGATATAAAATAAATATATAGTTTAAATCATTTAAAACATGTATAAATCATTCATCCAGCATAGACAACAAGTATTCAGATAATATGCACACATAGCACGTAATGTATGTAAAATACTTCATATCTATGTGTATGATGAAGGTAACTATGCACTCACTTGATTAGGTGGTGACTCAGCACTCGGACAGCAGTTCGATACTCTCAAAACAACTTTCCTTTGATAAAACCTAGTATCAATATGACTAGGGTTTAGTCTAACTTTAACCGCGACTAATTAATAGTCTAGGTATTATTATTATTATATAAGCGTGAAATAACACTCAATATAACTCATAATAATAGCCCAAACAATTATTTTAAGGTCCTAATAATGTTACTATAATTAATTAGAAGCTATATTAAAACTAGCGTAGGCGTAGCTCACTTACAACGGTTTTTTCGCAAAACCGGGCTTCCCTGGAGCAGCGTTTCCCGACCCGAAAGGCTCTTTTCTCGGAGCCGTCGGGCGCTCCGGGGCTTCCGCCTTGTTCTAGGGAGTTACCCTAGGCTTTGGGGGGTTAGGGAGGCTTAGAGAGAGAAAGAGAGTTTAGAGAGAGAAAGAAGAGGGTTGAGGGGTGAGGAAATGAGGGAACCCGACACCTCTATTTATAGGGTGAAATCCTGATGGACTCGCCGAGTCAGTTTACTAACTCGCCGAGTCAGTGCCACGTGTCATCACCTGATGGCGTTCCTTGGGGAGAAATCCTTGGCCCATATTCAGCCACGTCACCCTTTTTGCAGCAGCACCCTGCTGACTTCTAAACCCCGTAACTTTCGCATACGAGCTCCGTTTTTGACGTTATTTATATCCACGCGTAGGTAAAATCAAGATCTACCACTTTTGTTTAGACTCTGTCGGCTAATTCTCGACCGATCTCAAATTTAACAGTAGGAGGCGTTTAGACTATTAAATGACCGCGAAGAATCCATAACTCCTTCATACGGACTCCGTTTTCGTCCATTTTTTACTGTTGAGTTCCTATTAATGAGATCTTCAACTCTCATTTAGGTCACGTCAGCCAGAAACCGCTCGAACTAAAATTCGAGTTTCGGGTTGTACACTTCTAAGCCGAATCTTAGAAAAATCATAACTTCTTCATACGAAGTCAAATTTGGGCGTTCTTTTTATGGATTTTCTCAGTTTAACATATTCTACGACTTGGTTAAGATTATTTATTCTCAATAATCCTTTGTTGAAAAGTCATTTTCGACACTTATTGTCTCTAAATTGACTAGCCCGGATTTACGGGCGTTACAATTATCTCCCCATTAGGATGATTACTTCCCGGAATCATCAATGAAACATGATTGTATAATGACTCCATACATTATCTCTTCATCCTAGGTATTAACTGTAACTTCTATGTTGCTTTGAACGACTATCTAACTCTTGGACTCCTTGACTGCAGGCGGTGCACGGTCTTGCACCTGTCCTTAGACTTTCAATCGCGACCTTCTTTCTTTATCAGAGAATCGTTCTTCTTCTTAACAAACTTAGGATAAGTGAATTTGATTACTACAATTGACCGATGCATCATATTCTAATGACCTATCATCGTATGTAGCAATGCTTAGACTCAGGTCTCTTAGAGTCAAATTCCGTAATGGAATATGCCTTCCTTCATGGTCTAATGTGATATGATCACATTTTAACATGTAGCATTTCTAGCTACCAAAATCTTTAACAACGAGCGCGATACTTCTATTGATCGCTTTGATTTCAATCTTTTGGTTTAAGTTGGACACTACATCAAACTTGGTTCTCTGAACTACGTAACCTACTCATCGTAGTCAGACTCAATGTGATATGACCACTAGGGTCGAGATAACAACAATCTTCTTAGTCTTTACCGAAACAATGGTAACGACATACGAAATCAATTACCAGCTTCTTGGTAACCTTGTGACTTTCCCTGATTCAAGTGTGAGCCTGTGCTTCCGGTAGTATAGGCCTCTACTACCATTCACACCTACACATACTCGTCCTAAGTATTGTCTCGCAGTTTTCCAAGTTATTATCACAAAAACGATTTTTTTAACACATAAAAATGTGTCCAAACAATCACAAAAGTTTCCCTAGACTCTACTAGGACTTCTCCTATGCGTATCTTCAATCATCAATTCTGCTTCAGCTCGGTGGAAATGCCATACGATGGGTCAACTTCATGAATTTCGCCAATCATTCCATTATACTGCCAATCGAAGGTGTACTTCGGACGTACTGTACTCCTCTAAACGTACTGCATGACATATTCTAAAGGCAAGATACCACTCTTATTATATCTTCCGATATGTGTCATTCACTATTGTAAGCCTTTTCATTTCCTCCACTTACTCAATTCTCCATGAGTCCTTATCATGACATTCTATTCTCCAAAGCAAGCGTTTGGTGTATAGAGACGAGAATATAGATAGAGGAAGAATTAGATGCGTATTCCTTCTTATTACTCCAAAAAGTTACATGCCAGTTCTAATATCGTAACTAAACGTTTAGAAACTTGAGCACATAAAATTTCCAGATCCGGTCGGCAACAGACCATATATCCGATTGCATATCATAAATCATTTAGCACATAAAAGCATGTTAGAAATTTTCTCTAAATAAGCTAGTTCTTGTGTCTATTCAGGTGTATTACCTAAATTTTATTAGACACACTCCTCACATCCTAGTTCGCTTAAACTAATACTTGATAACAACTGTGACATCCCCAAAATCACGGCCAGAAAAGACAGATTTTGTTTATGCTTTATAAAAATCAGAGTACTTCTTTTCATAAAAATGTTGCGGAATTTGTTCCCAGAAAAACACGATAAATACGATATCAAAACATTTTCGAAGAAACGTATTTTATTTATGTTAAAACGTTTGGGATGTCATCGTCAATACAGAAACATAAGCATAAACGGAACATACATTTATTTACACTAGTGATCTACATCTCTTTAATCTCTCAGTGTAATGTGACTTCATATCAACACCTGTGATGTAAATAAACTGACTAGGTCAGGTTGGGAAACTTGGTGAGTACATAGGGTTTTCAACCCACAATAATATAATTATTATGTTTAAACAACCAAACAATCAACCCAATTACCCATCCCCATTATCTTCTTTTAGTCTTCCCTAGAGATATTATCTCAAGGGTCATCTCCTATATCATATTTACTTCTCATCTCCTTACATCGTATTTCCTTATATGATTGTTCCTACGAACTTTACCTAAGGATCATCGCCTACATTGCATAGACAATACTAATTCAGTGATTACTCCCTCAATATGTGTCTAGCAAGGGTTAGGGTATCATCGTATGATTACAGAGCCACAACATCGCCTAGACTTGTAAATCATGATAAGGGTTAGTCTATCATTGCATGAATACGTACCCACAACATCGCCTGGACTCGTAGATCATAATAACGGTTAGACTATCATCGCATGAATACATAGCCACAACATCTCCTGGACTCGTACTTCATAATAAGGTTTAGACTATCATCACATGAATACGTAGTTACAACATCGCCTGAACTCGTAATTCATCACCTACGTGTTATGAGCCTGCTGGTGTTTCCACGGGGTTGTCTATAATAGTCCGTGGTCGCCATCTATACTCTAGTAGATGACTACATCTTCAAATTGTCAGACAAGGTTGTAGTATCCTACATCACCGATTCATAATCACCTATCTATCCTCACATAATTAATATCACCTTCCTATCTTCACCTATCTCTCGTTATTTTATTTCATCACTCACCAACTATTTCATATACCCATGTTTTATCCCAACATATTTGTAGATATAAAATAAATATACAGTTTAAATCATTTAAAACATGTATAAATCATTCATCCAGCATAGACAACAAGTATTCAGATAATATGCACACATAGCACGTAATGTATGTAAAATACTTCATATATATGTGTAAAATAAAGGTAACTATGCACTCACTTGATTAGGTGGTGACTCAGCACTCGGACAACGCTTCGATACTCTCAAAACAACTTTCCTTTGATAAAACCTAGTCTCAATATGACTAGGGTTTAGTCTAACGTTAACCGTGACTAATTAATAGTCTAGCTATTATTATTATTATTATTATTATTATTATTATTATTATTATTATTATATAAGCGTTAATTAACACTCAATATAACTCATAATAATAGCCCAAACATTTATTTTAAGGTCCTAATAATGTTACTATAATTAATGAGAAACTATATTAAAACTAGCGTAGGCGTAACTCACTTACAACGGTTTTTTCGCAAAACCGGGCTTCCCTGGAGCAGCGTTTCCCGACCCGAAAGGCTCTTTTCTTGGAGCCGTCGGGCGCTCCGGGGCTTCCGCCTTGTGCTAGGGAGTTACCCTAGGCTTTGGGGGGGTTAGGGAGGCTTATACAGAGAAAGAGAGTTTAGAGAGAGAAAGAAGAGGGTTGAGGGGTGAGGAAATGAGGGAACCCGACACCTCTATTTATAGGGTGAAATCCTGATGGACTCACCGAGTCGGTTTACTAACTCGCCGAGTCAGTGCCACGTGTCATCACCTGATGGCGTTCCTTGGGGAGAAAGCCTTGGCCCATATTCAGCCACGTCACACTTTTTGCAGCAGCACCCTGCTGACTTCTAAACCCCGTAACTTTCGCATACGAGCTCCGTTTTTGACGTTCTTTATATCCATGCGTAGGTAAAATCAAGATCTACAATTTTCGTTTAGACTTCGTCGGCTAATTCTCGACCAATCTAAAATTTAACAGTAGGAGGCGTTTAGACTGTTAAATGACCGCGAAGAATTCGTAACTCCTTCATACGGACTCCGTTTTCGTCCATCTTTTTACCGTTGAGTTCCTATTGATGATATCTTCAGCTCTTATTTAGGTTGCGTAAGCCAAAAACTGCTCGAACTAAAATTCGAGTTTTGGGCTGTACACTGCTAAGCCGAATCTTAGAAAAATCATAACTTCTTCATATGAAGTCAGATTTGGGCGTTCTTTTTATGGATTTTCTCGGTTTAACATATTCTACGACTTGGTTAAGATTATTTATTCTAAATAATCCTTTTTCGAAAAGTCGTTTTTGACACTTATTGTCTCTAAATTGACTAGCCCGGATTTACGGGCGTTACAAAAAAGTGGTAACATTAAACTCTTCAGAATGCGTACATGTCACGAATTCATTCAAATCATCTTTTTTAGTAATTATTGCATGATATCGAACAGGGATTTCTCCAAGATTTTTGGAATTCCTAGATGTGGCTTTATGTAAGCTGTATACAATTTCCTTCTGAAGTTTCGTAGAAGGATACCAATCCTATTCATCATAAACTGTTTTCCAGTTTCATCAGCTTCAAAATAGTGCTTAAATGAAACAATAATGAATTTGTTAGTATTTAATACATGATTTGTAATTAAAATATGAGATGCAGTTAAAAAAAGTGAAATTTTTTTTTACTGTAATCTCTTGCCAAAGTTTGTCCTTCACTTCCGTTTTTACTTTCTTCTAGCAAAGAGCACTTAATACCACCTTCTCACAGACAAGATCTCCCAAATAACTAACAAACACTGCATTATTCTTCCCTATAAACTTACCGAATTAATCAAACTTGACACGCTTTTTTCTACCAACATAATTGACATACTCGGTCTTCAGCTTTGACAATTGAGTTAGACCCCTCTTCCTAGGTGACCTTGTGGGAACTGTGCTTTGGATTTCTTCTTCCAAATCTAAATGGATATTGTAGTTAATGTCCTTATTTTCACCATCTTCTGTGTCCGATTCATAAACTTGGGTTCCATCATCTTGCTCATATTCCATATCATAGGCGGGGATATCCTCATGTTGTTCCTTGTTCACCTCCATGATTCTTCTGTTTACATGAAACATATGAAATAAGATTGATTATTTATATGTTTAATGAAAAGGTATGAGTAACTTATAATTACATACAAAATTTCACATACACATTTCATCGAACATTTGGTGTGTAACAAGCACAATAATATGAAGAATCAAAATTTTTCTATTTAATGTATAATCCCCTAATCAATACAATCAATAACATTGAGACCATACACAAACAATATACTTACAGCAAAAATGCGTGATGAATGTTGTCCAATGATGAACTGTTATAATCCAACTGGGATATAACCTAGAGAAAAACCATACAATGGTTGAAAAAATCAAAGTCTTTTAAATATTACATTGTGAGTACATCCAAAATTGAGGGTTGTTACCAAATTCACCTGAATTTCCTTGATATGATGGATTGATCTTCATAGTTTTGACACTGAGATAGATGAATAATTCCCGCCTTGATTTGGAGCCCAAAACAAAATGGAAAAAATGTATGCCTCCCATTATATTTGCTTAATTTTAATTGACGAATTCAAATGTTTTCCAAATTTTGATATGATAGTGAACCCACACGATGAGAAGAATAAATCATGGTTTGGAAACATGTTCTGGCTTTTGAAACATTATTACGAGTTATTTGATATTAATAGAAATGTTACAAATTGGTCCTTGTAAATTAACAATTTTACGTTAGAATACAACTATATGGCTATTGGAAATAAAAAATATTTAACATTTAATTATGTATATACAATGGGAAAATAGTATAATAAAATAGAAATAAGAATAAGGTCTAGCTAGCTTACTAATTTTTCCGTGTGAACACTTTGTTAAGATTTATTTTATTTTATTTTATATTAAGTCAGAAAAAATCCATACACCAACTATATACCCATTGTGGTCCTAAATTCATACCACCACCCCTACCTGACATTGTAAAGATCAACCTGTACCACCAATCGACTACCTGGAACCCATACACCTACTATAAACCCATTGTGGTCCTAAACCCATACCAACACCCCCTACCCGACATTGTAATGATCAACCCGTACCACCAACCGACCACTTGGGACCCATACACCTACTATAAACCCATTTTTTGTCCTAAACCCATACCAACACCCTTATCTGACATTGTAATGATCAACTCGTACCACCAACTGACCACCTGGGACCCATACTCCTACTATAAGCCCATTATGGTCCTAAACCTGTACCAACACCCCTACCTAGCATTGTAATGATCAACCTGTACCAACACCCCTACATGACCTAGTAATGGTCAACCCATACCACCAACTGACCACCTAGGACCCGTACCCGTATTATAAACCCATTTTGGTCCCAAACCCGTACCAACACCCTTACATGACCTAGTAATGGTTAACTCGTACCACCAACCGACAACCTGCCACTCGTACCCCTATTATAATCCCATTTTGGTCCCAAACCCATACCAACACCCTTACATGACCTAGTAATGGTCAACCCGTACCACCGACCGACCACCTGGAACCCATACACCTACTATAAACGCATTGTGGTCCTAAAACCGTACCAACACCCCTACCTAACTGTAACACCACAAAAATTTGAACAATTTTCACTTTTGAAAACCATGAAATATAGTTTGCATTCATAAATAAAAACATTGTATCAACATTGTATCAGTATAAAACCCCAAGATCAAAATGTTTAAACTCCAATGTGCGTATGTACGAGTCATGTCGGCGCCTTCCCGCGATCATCACTAGTACCTGAAACACATAACACATAACACTATAAGAATAAATGCTTAGTGAGTTCCCCAAAATAACACATATAGCACATACACCTTTCCAGGCCTTAGGACCTTCCGATCCAAGTATCTCAGAGGATTTCCATCCCAGACTCTGTTGACCTTCCGGTCCTTATCATCTTGACCTTCCGCACCACATCATGCTCATATCACATAACATATCACATATAACTTACATCACATATACATCATACACATAAGACCCTTCGGTCACATATAATTACCCCATCGGGTAAGGCATAGTGAGAAGACTCACCTCAGACGTCTCGTAAATCTCTAGCTTAGTAGAAGTATTGCCTAGCCTCCGCCTATTCACACAAATTAAATACCCTCAGAAACATAACACTCAAGGCTAGACTCGACTCTCTGTTGTCACCCTCAGAAGGGTAAAAGACTATTTTACCCCCCTCTTGACTCAAGGACCCCATTGTTGACCAAACCCTAAAAGTCAAAAAAAGTCAACGGTCAACTTTGACCCAACTCGCCGAGTACACTCCGGTGACACAGCGAGTACACACATGTCCACTAACTCTTTGCCCTACTTGATACGTCGATTCCTACCCTATGGTCGACGAGTCACACCTGGCATGAATCGCGGGGCTACCCTGACTTAACTCGCCGAGTCTCAAGACCAACTCGGCGAGTACCGCCTTTAACTCCAGCCTTTTAACCCCCTTCTAACTCACTGAGTTATCCCCTAACTCGGCAAGTCTACTCACTGAGTGATCTGCGTGGACCTTGACCCTACTCGTCGAGTCTTAAGAAAAACTTGGCGAGTTCATGCCATGCACAGACTCTATTGACCTTCTGTGGTCAGATCTGTGCCCCTAATCCATAGATCTGGCCTTCCCAAGCTTTAATGTCACGTCAAGTCTGAATCTTGATGCTTATAACTCAACCAATAGGCATCAAATGGTGATTTTGTCCCAAATACCTTAACCCAAGGTCATGACCTCCATTGTTCTTCATAAAGCTTGAAGAATAAGGCTCTCTGGACCTCTGTGGGTCTAGGTACAAAGCCTCATCTCCAGAAGGGACTATTTGGACCTCAAATCAACTTAGTCAAGGGTACAAGAAACGCTAAAACCACATATCCTTCCCAAAACAGAAGAAGAGTCGAAATAATACCTCAATTAAATGATCTTAGCTTTTAGTCCTTAGAATAGCAACCTCTTTTTCTTTCCCTTGGCTAGAACCTCCTTGTCCTTACTAAATGACACCACAATGATCAACAATGGTCACTCCTTGCTTCTCAAACGATCTGAGACTCTCTCTCGGGGGGGGGGGGGTAGTAGCCGCAATGGATGGCCATAAGGGCCTTTAGATAGGTCCCAAGCCCTGGAAATTAGGGCTTCACCAAACAACGTGGACTCGCCGAGTACACGAATGGACTCGCCGAGTTCGGACATGAACTAGAATGAACATCCGCGTCCCTACTCGACGAGTCTTCGCGCCAACTCGCCGAGTTCCTCCACAAACTCCAAAAATTAAACGAATAAAATAATATACCTGGGAGTCCGGATGTTACAACTCTCCCCCACTAGAATCAGACTTCGCCCTCGAAGTCTCATTCTGAAAACAACTCCGGATGCTGCTCACGCATCACACGCTTCGGCTCCCAAGTAAGCTCCGACCCTTTCCGATGCTGCCACTGGACCTGAACAAGAGGCACTTCCTTGTTCCTCAGGACCTTGATCTTTCGATCCCGAATCAACACAGATTTTTCAATGTAGTTCAGTTCCACATCCACCTGAATATCCTCCAATGGAACCACCGCCGACTCGTCGGCTATACACTTTCTCAGCTGCGACACATGGAAGGTATCATGAATCTAGTCCAACTCCGTAGGTAACTCCAAACGATACGCTACCGTGCCCACGCTCGCGATCACTCTCAATGGCCCAATATATCGGGGCCCCAACTTGCCCCTCTTCTTGAATCGGATCACTCCTTTCCAAGGATATACCTTCAGGAGCACGAAATCACCAACCTAAAACTCGAGCTCAGATCGTCGCCTATCCACATAACTCTTTTGGCGACTCTGAACGGTTAGCAACCTTTGTCGGACCTGCTGAATCTGCTCAGTCATCTGAAGCACGATCTTTGTACTTCCAATCACACACTGCCCTACTTCTCCCCAGCAAATGGGGGTCCGACACCTCCTCCCATACAACAGCTCAAAGGGTGGCATACCAATGCTCGAATGATGGCTGTTGTTGTAGGAAAACTCCGCTAAGGGCAAATACGTGTCCCACTCCCGCCGAAATCTAGCACACATGCTCGAAGCATGTCCTCGAGTGTTTGAATCGTCGGCTCACTATGTCCGTCAGTCTGTGGGTGGTATGCAGTACTAAAATGCAACTTCGTACCCAACTCCTCATGGAATTTCTTCCAAAATCTGGAAGTGAAACGCACATCTCAATATGAGACAATCGAGATTGGCACTCCATGTCGCGATACCACCTCTCTCATGTTCAATTCTGCCAGCCTCTCAGCAGAAGAGCTCTCACTGATGGCAAGGAAGTGAGCGCTCTTCGTCAACCTGTCCACAATCACCCAAATTGCATCGACACCCCTAGCAATCCTCGGCAACTTGGTGATAAAATCCATGGTGATCTGTTCCCACTTCCACTCGGGAACCTCCAATGGCTGCAACTTACCATGTGGATGCTGGTGCTCAGCCTTAACCTTGCGACAGGTTAGGCACCTCTCAACGAACCACGCGACGTCCCTCTTCATACAAGGCCACCAATATTCCATGTTCAGATCCAAGTACATCTTAGTGGCACCGGGATGGATTGAGAACTTCATTCTATGCCCCTCCTCCATCAAAATGGTACGCTTTCCGTCCTCAAACGGTACCCAAAATCTATCCCTGAAAAGTTATAAGCCCTCGGTTATCGGGTAATGAACTCCAATACTTGACCGATAACTCGCTCCCTCTTCTGGTTTTCCGGTCTCACGGCCTCGGCCTGGGCTCCTCGGATGGTGTCCAACATCGGAGTCATCACTGTCAATCTCATACAAATATCTTGCATCGGAACACTCTCCACCCTACGACTCAGGGCATCGGCTACCACATTAGCCTTACCCAGGTGATACGGGATCTCGCAATCATAATCCTTTACCACATCCAACCATCTCCTCTGACGCATATTCAGGTTGGGCTGATCCATCAAGTACTTCAGGCTCTTATGATCTGTGTAAATGGTACATCGGACTCCAT